GAGAGTGGCGCGACAGTGTCTTCTACAAGACTCTGGGAACTGACTTCCTCCCCATCTCCTTCAAGGCTGCCCGCAAGGCCGACCCCAATGCCAAGCTGTAAGTGAAATGCCACATTAACTAGTGTATATCTAACAGTCTAAGGTACTACAACGACTACAACCTCGAGAACAACGGCGCTAAGACCGAGCGTGCTCTCGAGATTGTCGACATCCTCCAGAAGGCTGGTGCCCCCATTGATGGTGTTGGCTTCCAGGGCCATCTTATCGTCGGCCAGAGCCCTTCTCGATCTGCTCTCACCACCGTCCTCAAGCGCTTCACTGCTCTTGACGTCGAGGTTGCTTTCACCGAGCTTGACATCCGTCACGCTTCCGTTCCCGCCTCCGAGGCCGCTCTCAAGACCCAGGGTGATGACTTTGCCAACGTTGTCGGAGCTTGTCTCGATGTCAAGGGCTGTGTTGGTGTCACCGTCTGGGGTCTTACTGACAAGTACAGCTGGGTTCCCGACACCTTCAGCGGTGCTGGTGAGGCTCTCCTCTACAACGACCAGTACGAGAAGAAGCCTGCTTGGACCAGTGTCTCCAGCATCCTCGCTGCTGCTGGTACTGGCGCTCCTGCCACCAGCGCTGCTGCTCCCGTTGAGACCACCGCCGCCGCCGAGACTGCTGCTCCTACTACCCTCGAGACCAAGACCAAGCCCGCTTACACTGAGTCCGAGGCTGTCTCTGTCCCTGAAGCCGAGACTACATTCCCTGCCACTACTTTCTTGAACAACTCTGCTCCCCGGACCACTCTGGAGACCCGGACCGCCCCTGCTGCTATCCCCACCGAGGCTGATGATGAAGATGATGAGGACTGCGATGACGAGGAGCCTCCTTTCCCTACCTACCAGGTTCCCAGCAACGGTACCCAGACCAGTCCTACCCAGGCTCCCGTTGATGACGACTCTTCCGCTCCCGTTCCCACTGACGCTGACGACGAATACGATGATGACTGTGACGAGGATGACGAGGCTTTCCCTACCTACGAAGTCCCCAACAACGGCACTCAGTCTCAGCCCACCGGCGTCTCTGGTGAGCAGTCCGCCGCTGAGGTGACTGACACTCCTACTGAGACCGCCCGTGTCCCCATCGTCCGCCACAGCAGCGGTGCCTACACTTACCGCTGGAACACCGAGTCAACTGCTCCCGCTCCCGTCGCCGTTCCCACTGGTACTGCCCCCTCCGGCCCTGTCGGAACCGGTACCAGCGGTCCCGTCAAGCACTACTACCAGTGTGGCGGCAAGAACTACAAGGGTTCCACTGAGTGCGAGGCGCCTTACAAGTGCGTCGCCGCCAACGAGTGGTACTCTCAGTGTGTTTAAGAAGAGAAGGCTTACGTGGACTTGAGGGGATGTTTCTTTGCTTTACGACATGTACATAATTCATCGCGTTTATAATTTAGAGTTCCATGCTTGATGCAGGAATTGATATGGGAATAGAGCTGTGTTCAATTTATATGCAAGTGAACACTAAAATAACAAGAACTTATAAGACCATAACGTGGTATCTTCCTGAACTCCCGAGCCCGACAATGATAGTGGCCAGCACCCATGTCTAATAAAGCCGTGTGTCAAATACAAAAAACTCCAAACTCAAAGTCTTGCGCTAAAATGATGTCTCCACGCTCAATAAACTCCCAAATCTTCGACACAAAAGTTTGCAAATGCCTAAAAGGCAATAAGGTCATCGCCCTCAAAATGTGGACCATCTTCGCCAGCGTCGTTGCTCTTCACAACAGAGGCACTGTCGTCTCCTTCGGGCTCCTCGGAAGAAGTTGAGGCAGTGTCTTCATCGGGCACCTTGGAAGATGTTGAGGCGGCGTCTTCATCGGCCTCGTTTTCTCGAGCAGCCATTACAACACGAAACATTGTATCTTGTGCCCATTCTTCCACACGCTTCATAGCCATGCAGTCGGAACAGCTGCTCGAAACGCCAACTGCCTCCACGAGGAATCGTTGGAAGATGTGATTCTTCCGTCGGCGAACGAAAGTGTTGATGTCGGCCGTGGTAAGCTTAACAAGAACGGCAACGTCGAACTCTCCTCGTGCGAGAGCAACCAGGTCGAGGTAGGTAAGGCCTATGGCCTCTTCGTCGCGGATTATCCTTTCCGATTCCTGTTGGTTTCTCCTTTCTATCCCATCAAATACCACCTGAGGTATGGGGGAATCTGAACCGCCAAGATAAATGGCTGAGTAACGAGCACGACGAGGCATGGTGATGTTGCTAGGAGTGAAAGGTAAAGAGTATGGGAAAGAGGGGAATATGGAGAATGGATTGATTGAAGTAGAATGGAAGACTGCCAGCTGGAGTGAAGTATGGTGAACGAATTGTGTATGAGTGAAAAGTAATCGAGTTCCAGAGGAGGGAAGGCCGGGGTTTTATAGGAAATGCAGGAAGTATATTTTGAGTTAACTTGCAGTCGCAGTAGAGTTCTAAATGCACACGCAGACAATACCATCTTGAAAACCTTGTATGCATATGAAAAAGGACCATGCTCAAGCTTTGGGCTGCAAGTACTGACTCATTTGAGAAATTTGTAAGTTGCAGTGAAAGCGAGAATATGCCGAGAGAGTAATAGAGGGTATACTGCAGACGTGTTGACCGAGATGCCCTCACAGTTTCTGCCACCTTCTATGCAGCCATAAAAGGTGATCACAAAGTTCGAGTGCATTTGTTCGCAAAACAAAGCCTTTCTTACACGTCTGTGTTGACACCCAGTGTCGTGTTCACGCGCGAGCTGAAGAACAAGTATCCAGACTCTGATACTGGTATAACCATGGCAGTGCTCTTTAAACCCGACCATATCACATCAGAGAAAAGCTTGAATCGCTAGTATCTACTACCTGAGCCTGATTAAATCTCAGTTCAAGTCGTCTTGGAGTGACTGGTTAGAATGAAGGCTAAAAACGAAGTACTTCGATTTGCCCTTATGCACTACACTTCGGCCCTTTGAACGAACAAGCATCAATAAATCTTATGCATATACAAGTTCAAACACTTTAATGTTAAAAACATTAAAAAGCGAGTCAGACCCTCACTTTCAGCCCTACAGACACTTCACTCTCGACCTCTCACACCCGCAAATATGGCCTTTGACAAGGAGCGTGAGCTAGTCATTATGGGCGTCTACCGCGACTAACTATCAGCCCTCTCCCGCAGTCATCACAGCATGAACCTGCTCGTCAAGATAGCCTCAGTCGAGAGACAAGGCTTTTAATTCTTCCTTAAACAGATTCTGCATATCGAGAAGGATACACCTGGAAAGTGCTTGGATGAAAGCCATTCCTTTGAGGAGATCGCGAAATTTGGAGGGGATGGCCTTATCGCCTTTTACAATGACACTTTGACCTTAAAAATTTGGAAAGCATGAGCGTGACGAAAAAAATAGGCGGAGTTATTTCTAAACGTTATTACAAGGTTCAGTGAGAACGACTTTCATCTGGGTTTGTTTGACGAAACTGTGTCGCGTCGAAGGTTGTTAGGGTCTAGAATGAATGGAGAATGCAGCGTTGTATTAAGAAACCTTTCTTCATTTTATGTCCAAGACTTGTTTGAGTGGTGGTACACAATGTAACCCCTTTCTTGCACAGTAGTAATTCTCTTTTTGCCTTAACATCGAGAAAGCCTCTGTGACCTTGCTCGGATCGCATGCTCCTTTTCAGATATGGTCCAGCAGTGCCAGTACCGTAAGAATTGGGCGAAATCTCTCCAGTTCGACTCTTTCCATTCCACCGGTGATATATCATGAACCATGATGGCTGCGGAATATCTTCAAACCACGCAGCTCTACTGATCTATGAAGGAGCCAGGTCAGGACTAAATTTCTTCGCTCTGATCTACCACTAAGTACTTTTCCCTTGCGTTTTTCGTTATACTTGTACATGGAAGATGCGAGAAGGTAACACAGAGCAGCATGTTCCACTCCTATTATTTACACCGATGCCTTCCATGAAGAAATAACACGGCCTGTGGCCTAGGAGGCCATTCGGTCATCAGGGCATTTAAGAGTACTGTGCCCGTAGGTAGGAAGGTCGAGTCTTATAAGACAATGTTTCACATACTAACCTTGAGAGCATTAATACGGTCTAGGGGACTAATCACTTGCATTTATAATGCTTGGCCGGAGGACTGGTTGGCTTTTTTGCAAAACGAACAAACTCAGCAGTAAAAGGAATAAGTCAACCACGAATGATACATCAGCAATTAACAAAGACTACGATGATATCCGAGAACTCCGAATAATTCATGTCATACTAATGGTTATATTATTCTAAGATTATAGAAACTACGTGCAATTTAGTGCGGCCCTCTTCCTCATGGCTCTCCTTCCCTCTCAACAGCGAGTTCTTAATCCAAGAAGCGGGAGTGGCCGACCACACGGCTCCACAACCTTATTTTAAGCGATAAGCCACAAAGAGGTACGTACCATTGCAACAGCAGTTGGCATCTCGTCAAACAAAATAAAGCAACAGGGACACTCGAATTTTGGCGCGGCGATGGAGGTTGTTTACTCACAGGCTGCGCGCAAGTTTTGCCAAACCATGGTTGGGTCGTTAGGTTGCTCGACATCAGACCCATGGCCTAATGATTCCTCATGACCACCCATCCCGGACATGGCTTGCACAACTTGAGCTTATTCTTAAGAATGGATTCCGGTAGGAATGGTATAATGTCATATCATAAAACTGATAGTTAAGTCCTATCTTCGTATAGTGTGAGAATTTCATCCGAGGTGGCTCACAGACAATGTCATGTCAAGCATCTCTCACAAAGCCGCCAGATTACACATTGAGCAGCGAGGCTGTGCCGAGGCATGCCGACAGTTTTCGGGTGATGTGGGGTAGTGGGGGAGATAATCGCCTAGCCGAGCAAGTTTCAACAAATCAGCGCAGACAACGTAGTAAGCGAAGTCGCGCGATATGTTCTCAACTTTTGGCACCCATTTTATCCACAAACACCCTGGCAACGTGGCGGAGTGGTTAACGCGATAGCCTCGAAACAAAGGTAGCTATTTCCTTCGGGAGCGTCGGTTCGAATCCGACCGTTGTCGTTTGTCTTTTGCCGTTGCTGTCTATACATGAATGGTTGTCGATGGTGAAGTTCATCGTTTTTTGCCCCGCGACCATAGCTAGAGCCATCAGGTTTGATCTTGCTCGAGTAGACAATCGATCACATCAAGTCCTGCCGCAATTGACTGCAAGTAGACAGCTAGACGGGCAAGATACTGATAAGTGATTACCCATAATCACATTGTCCCACACGCCTATGTTACCACTTGTCAACTAGAACAATCTGATATCCTCTAAATTACACTGTACACATGCATTACTATGGTTCTTAGCTCAGAGGCAACCTTGGCGACCCATTGTGCTCGAGTTAACTTCTGTCACTTGGACCACGAGTTTTGGGTGACTGGACCTGGCCCTTCTCATTGCCTTCACTAGCAGACTAACTTTTTGCAGAGTACGTAGTCGCTCCGTCACTTATTACTTACTACCTGCTTGAGACCTTTACCTGCCGCCCAGCTTGGCGTCGGTCGTCTCCACTGCTACCAAGTTATCCAGCCTTAACCGTGGTTCATTGTTGCCATCTAATCTAGGAGGTATCATCATATACTGACGTCGTTCCCTCTTGCTACTTTCTTTCTACAATACTAATATGAGCCTTCTTCCTATCTCCAACCGGCTGGAGACCACCGGCTCGTCTAATCAGTTGACCCGGGTCCGGATCCGATGGATCCACTTTTACGGCTCGGGCCTCCGGACCATGTCCCTTTCGCATTCCAAAGAACATTATCAGACAAGACAAGACGTCTGGGTCATTATTTATTCTGGGATAATGATTCGGATTAGGTAAAGCTTATTAGCCCGTAGTGGAACCTTTAAGCAACATTATAACAATATTTAGGTAACCTTCTTTTTCTGCCGCGTAGTCTTGAGCTGTCTTCTGTAGAACTGCTTTGCTTTGGGTATGTATGTTGTAGACTTCTCGCATGAATTGATCGTGCGGTGTTGTGGAAGAAGAAACGAATTGTGTGATGATGTAGAGAAAGAGTCCAGACATAGCTACCCACAGAATCTATCTCTTTTCGTACTGCTTCGGCGACGCCTGTTATCACCAAGCAACAACAACTTGATGTTCTTACAGCCAGGCCCACCACGAATATTGACGGAGTCCTTGTGTCTGGATACAACTCATGCATTAACTAGACCAAACTTGGGAACCTACAAACAATGGCCAGTAGTATTACACAGAATAGTCGTTCCTTTCTTTCTCCAAGACCCCTTATCGAGGCAGCTATCAGCCAGCTCCAGCAGGTTGCTTTCTGCGTAAGCTTCTCGAGTTCCTTCCGGCAGAGTCCTTGTCTTCTCTCAAGGTCCTAAGGTTAGTGATCGTTATATTTGGTCTTCTATTTGCCCCGCGGTCGGGCGATCTCCGACACTGAAGCACACCCCGCCACAGTCAATTGTGATGAACAACCAAATCATCAATTTGCCTTCATAAAATCATATGAATTTCACCTGAATTTCACCTTGGTCTTGCCTAAGCTCTACCTGAATTACGACAATATCGACCTACAGTAGCGCTACGCACCTTTACACAAAAGCAATCACCCATTATCGCCAAATCCCACGTGCCTCCATCCCGCATCACCAACTGGCACAACCCATGTCGCTCAAGATCGACAATTAGGATGCACGTGCAGCACCTCGACCACGCCGTTGGATCTCACGCACTAAATTAATCGGCCGGGGTAGCGATCCGTCTCTCTCGGCGATAATTCCCATGGCCATTTCCGTCACCGAGCGCGTGGGATAATGAAGTCAGGAATTGCCTCACGCGAGCCATGGACCGTCTTGGCCTTTTCTGATTCAAGCTTAAAAAGCCTCCCGGGAGCCAATGTAACTCAAACTTTATCCAGGGCAGCTCAACTCCGCAGCCGTGACATTCTTTCATTGACAAGTTACAATGGTTGCTACTTCTTCGCTGTTTCAGCTGGCTTTGCTGCCGGCCCTGGTCTTTGGGTCTTCTCTTGCGCCTAGGGCTAAGGCTGTTGACTATGATGCGTTCACTCTTCGAGAAGTCGGCGCTCGCAACACTCTTGTCAGTGACACCGCATCCCATGATCCGAATTTCTATTAACATGTTCAGGACTGGCGTGTGTGGCTCGAGAAGGATGGCCAGCCTATCTCCTTCTGGCACGATGTTCCTCTGTACCCTGAAAAGGGCAACAATCGCATCGTGAGCTACGTTGTTGAGATCCCTCGATGGACCGACGGCAAGATTGAGACCCGTCGCGATGAGCCTCTCAGTAGGGCTTCATTCCAAAGCCAATGTACATGTCGCTGACTGGTTGTAGACCCCATCTTCCATGATGACAAGAAGGACAAGCCTCGCTTCGTCGAGAGTGTCTGGCCTCACAAGTCTTATCCCTTCCACTACGGATCAATCCCTCAGACTTGGGAGAGTCCCAACTTTGACCACGATTTTACTGGATTCCCTGGTGACAACGACCCAATTGATCTGTTCGATATCACCGAGGCGTAAGTACTCCGCTCTGTTTGAAGTAAACAGGAGCTGACATACACAGCCCCGCGCATGTTGGCCAGGTGAAGTCTGTGAAGGTTCTGGGAGGACTTGCTCTCAACGATGTGAGTTGATCCTTATTACTCAACAAAAACATGTTTACTAATCGTTACAGGGTGGTGAGACTGACTGGAAGGTCATTGCTATCGATACCGAAGACCCCCTTGCCGCTCTGGTCGACTGTAAGTCACATCCCCTCCTCGTAACAGTTCAAACTAACACATCCAGCCGTTGAGGACCTTGAGAAGTACCGCCCCGGTCTAGCCAAGACGTACTACAACTGGTTCACCGTAAGTCCCCTATCACTCGTCTCCCAAACTCAACTAACATCATCAGTACTACAAGGTCGCCCGCGGAGACGATGTCCTCGAGATTGTCGGCGGAGACTACCAGAACGCCAAGTTCATGGCCAAGACCATCAAGAGCAGCCACGGCGACTGGCAGGATCTCGTCCGCGGCAAGGTTGACTCCAACGAGATCAACTACAACCAGACTACCACCAAGAAGTACAAGAAGAGCTACGTCAAGAGCAAGGACGCCACCAAGAAGTTTGGTCTTCCTGCCAAGGCTAATGTTCTTCCTGCTGCGGAGAGGCCAGCCAAGTATGATCAGTGGTATTACTTGGATAAGGACTACAAGTTGATTGAGCTTCCCGAGAAATAAATATTTGTCTGTATTGGACAGTCTCATTACAATACTCTAATTCTATAGAACAAATTCAAATCCGATCACTTGTTTAACTAAACTTCACCGTCTCATAAGAACTCTTGGCTCTGATACCTGGACCATATTTGAACAGCACCCAGGGAACCGGCAGCAACACCAGTGCAATGAAACCCAGAAGACTACTAGCCCAATCAATCCCCAACTTTTGATACACTAGTTCATGTCAGCTTGGCTCCAGTACAGAACGTGAACTCAACTTACTCTGAATAGTGAACAGCGGAAACACTCCCGCAAATCCATATCGCGCAAGACTATTCGCACTAGCAGCGCTCGCAACCACACTCCCATGATACGTATCCGTGATATACTGTATCGTACTCACGAAAACGCATAGATTTCCCCATGCAAAGAAAATCATCGCCACAGCAGGACTCGCCCAAGAAACCCCCGGTCGTGCAGTCCAGGCGAACCAGAACAGGCCGATGGGCAGCCCAACACTTCCAATCATAGAAGGATACAAACGATGTTCGGGTGGAATCTGATGCGGAGGGTACTTCGAAGCCTGTTTGCGATAGAGGAAGATGTCGCAGAGCATGACGGTAAGGAGTCCAAGAACGCAGCCGATGACGATTGAAAGGAACACAAGTCCTGACTCTTCAATGGAAAACTGATATACCCTCCCAAAAGTATACGGCACAGCAGCGAAGAAACTGAAAAGCGTTCCAAACTCAGCCGACACGTATAAACAGATGAATCCAGTGATAGGCTCAAAAAGAAGCATCCTAATAGGACGCACAACCGCTACAAGAGCAAACGTCCTAAATCGAGCAGCCAGAGGCGGCGGCGGATCGACCTTCAAGCCTTTCTTCTTCGCCAGTCTGCGCTTGATAACTGGATGAAACGTCTCGTGTGAAAAGGCCGTGATGATGATGGCTAGGATAGAGAAGAAGACCAACGTCCACTGAGTCCAGCGCCAGCCTTTGCGATGAACGACGAAGGATCCTATAATCGGCCTATATTGCATTAGCCATGCTCATAACATCAAGATAGATACTCACCCTAATCCAGGTCCCAAAAACGGCATAAGAACAAATATCGCTGATACAGGGCCCCTGTTCGTCGGTGTAAACGTTTCAGACAACGTCCCCGGCGCAACAGCAAGTACAGGACCCCAACACAATCCCGCCATGAAACGAAGAAAGCAAAGCCCTCCAATGTTATGAACAAACCCCGCGCCGACGGTGAAGATAGCGCCTAGTGGCACACTCGCAAAGTAGATAGGATAACGACCGAGAGTCTCAGACAAAGGACCGCCAATGACAGGTCCGAAACCGAGTGCGAGGACGTACATCGTCAACGGGAGGAGAGCGACGGTGCTGCTGACGTTGAACTCGGCCATTAGAGCGTTGCGAGCGGGACTCATGATGGATGTTCCGATGGATCTAGAGTTGTTAGATCGGTAAGATAGAGAGATATGTGTACTCACCCTAATAAAGCTGAGCAGGAGAGCATCACGACTTGCAATGCCTTCTTCCATGCTGGCCAGTTGAAGGGATTATGCGGACTATTATCCCAATCCAACTCATCTACTATCTCTGGCTGCTCTTTAGGTCGCGCAACTTCAACGTCTTGCTCAGTCGCAGAGTCGTTGCCAAGTTGAGCTGCAAGCGCAGCATCGCCAGTCGCAATCATAGTGCCTTGGTTCGCAATATTCGCCATGATGATCGTGCAAGTCAACAATCAAATCTCAATTCCCATCTTCGAAACTGTTCCTTATCTACTATCCAAAACTCCGAC